GCGAAAATACGAGAAGCCCCAAGAGCTGAGTGGACGCAAGCGAGCCTCGACGCTTCAAACGTCCCCCGGTTCCTCCTCTCACCTCTCGCCGAGGCCCCCTCTAGGCAGCAGTCTCAGCCCTTGGTGGAGATCCAGTCTCACTTACTTCCAACAACAGTTAAAACCTGACAAAAAAGATAAACTTCTCAAGAAAAAGCGCCGATCCTGAAAGAACACTGAGGATAGATTGGCACTGGCCAACAAACCGCTTCGGCGGTTCAAGCAGGAGCCAAAAGACGATCTGCCTGAGGCACCTCCTAAGACCCGGGAGAGTGATCAGTCACGTTCTAGCTCACCCACTGCTGGGCCCAGCACTGAAGGGGCTGAAGGCCCTAAAAAAAAAAAAAAAAAAAAAAAAAAAAAAAAAAAGATAAAGATGCGCCGAAAACGACGGCTTCCCAACAAGGAACTAAACAAAAAACTAAGCAAGGAGCTCAACCACGAGATCCAAAAGACAAAGAGTACCTTGGCCCACGAGAACCACCAGCCCATCAAGTCAGAGCCCGAGAGTGAGAATGAGGAGCCAAAGAGGCCCCTAAGCCACTGCGAGCGCCCCCATCGCTTCAGCAAGGGGCTCAACGGCACCCCTCGGGAGCTACGGCACCCACTGGGACCTGGCCTACACAGCCCACCTCGAGTTATCTCCCGGCCCCCACCCTCTTCGTCCCCACCTAAGTGCATCCAGATGGAGCGTCATGTGATCCGACCGCCACCCATCAGCCCCCCACCTGACTCGCTGCCCCTTGATGATGGAGCAGCCCATGTCATGCACAGGGAGGTGTGGATGGCAGTCTTCAGCTACCTCAGCCACCAAGACCTGTGTGTCTGCATTCGGGTCTGCAGAACCTGGAACCGCTGGTGCTGCGATAAGCGGTTGTGGACCCGCATTGACCTGAACCACTACAAGTCCATCACGCCCTTGATGCTGAGCGGCATCATCCGCCGACAGCCTGTCTCCCTTGACCTCAGCTGGACCAATATCTCCAAGAAGCAGCTGAGTTGGCTCATCAACCGGTTGCCTGGGCTCCGAGACTTGGTGCTGTCAGGTTGCTCATGGATTGCTGTCTCAGCCCTCTGTAGTTCCAGCTGTCCATTGCTCCGGACCCTGGATGTTCAGTGGGTAGAAGGACTAAAGGATGCCCAAATGCGGGATCTTCTGTCCCCACCCACAGACAACAGGCCAGGTCAGATGGACAATCGGAGCAAGCTCCGGAACATTGTAGAACTGCGCCTAGCTGGATTGGACATCACAGATGCCTCCCTACGGCTCATTATCCGCCATATGCCCCTGCTCTCCAAGCTCCACCTCAGTTACTGTAATCATGTCACTGATCAGTCCATCAACCTGCTCACTGCAGTCGGCACTACCACTCGAGACTCTCTGACAGAGATCATTCTATCAGACTACAATAAGGTCACTGACCAGTGCCTGTCCTTCTTCAAACGCTGTGGAAATATCTGTCATATTGACCTGAGGTACTACAAGCAAGTCACCAAGGAAGGCTCTAAACAGTTCATAGCCAAAATGTCTGTGAGTATTCAATTTGGGCAAGTGGAAGAAAAACTCCTGCAAAAACTAAGTTAGTTCTAGGACAAGTATGTAAATACGGAGGGTTGGGGGAACACAGCGGGGGAGGGGAAAGGACTAAAAAACAAGTGGGCTTATATTTCCCTTTGGAATTTGGAACAAGAGACCACAAGACACAGTTCTGTTTCACAAGTCTTGCCAAGGGAGAAGCCGTTCAACTACCCATTTGGGGATGAGTGAGCCAGATGATGTTTTCCTCTGCTCTTTCTGCATCATAACTGCACTGCTTTTTGGACCATTTCTAAGGCAGCCTTTAGAAGACATTCCAGTTGGAAGGGATGATGAGCTTTGGAAAAATCCTCTTAAAAGCCTGAGCTTAGTGCTTTTATTGGTAGTTTTGTTTGAGACACCCTGTTCCTTACAATGCCAAGGCTTCTGGTGTCAACATAGAATGGACCACACATACCATCTACAGCCGTCTTGACACATTTTGTTTAGTTGGTTTTGTTACATCTTACATTATGCAGAACATGGCATTTAAATGTTTTAATATTAGTACTCCATTGACATGAGACACTGTTGCTCCTGGCAGCACCATGCACTTTCCCGAAAATATGTTGGACACTGTTGTTGCTCCTGCTGGAGTTCAATCTCGCCTCAGCTAATGGCCTGTTGGGCATAGAATTGCCCCCACCTTGACCACTGATTTGGACATACAGTCCTATGTGCTTACAGGAAACAAATATAAAAGACTACTTGACCTTGCCAAGTCAGGGTAAGACAGCCATTCTATTTCCCTGCTGTTGTTGTGGTCTGTCAAGTTCTCTTGGCCTTAGCCAAATCTGGGTGTACCAACGTCGCTGTGAGACCTAGGGTGATTCTTCAGGTGGCTTGCTGTTTCTGTCCTTGCTACACCTTTTGAAAGTTGTCCATCCACATTTCCTGTCTACTCTAGTATTGTTATTTTCCTTCTCAGGTCTTGATGAGGTTAAAGATTAAACTATCACAACTATTATTCTCTCTTCCTAGTTAGATATATTAGGTACTAGACTTACGTTTTCCAGCTTAGGACAACTCTATTGTAAACTCCATTATGCCCTCACCCTAGGACTAGATATGTAGGTCATTTTGTTCTCGATTTTCCTTTTCTTAGAGCACACTTGTTATTCACTGTTTTGTATATAGTTTTGTATTAAGCCTAAATCTTTTCTTTAGACTAAAAGGGGAATTGTAGTGAGGTAGTCCTTCTGTAGCACTGACCACGCCCATTGGGGGCTGGAGCGATGGGCGGAGGTGACCTGAGGAAGGAGGTCGGAGGGGGCCAGGAAGGCGCTCTCTTTTCTGGCGTGACTCGGACAGGAGAGGATCGGGTTGAATTTCCTGATGTTCATCTGTCTAGGTTGTAAGTTATTTCTCCCTGAATAAACATCTATTCGGCCTATTTGTTTATCCTGATCCTTATTTACCGCAATAAGTAATAGCATATTCCATATTCGTGGTGACCTTTGACCTTCCTTGCCAGTTATTTTCTTTTGTTTTTGGTTGGAGGAATTGTTCACTTTTGAGATAGGAGCTCATGGAGCTCAGGCTGGCCTTGAAGTCACCATGTAGCCAAGGAAAACCTTGAGCCCCCATCCGATCCCCCCATCCCCAGTACCTGGACTGTAGGCATGAATCACCACACCTAGCTTGGTTTGGGGTTTTGTTTGTTTGTGGTATATTTTTATTTTTAAAGGAATGTATCATTTTGTTTTGTTTTGTCTTGCTTTGCTTTGCTTTTCATGACAGGGTTTCTCTGTGTTGCCCTGACTGTCCTAGAAACTAGCTCTGTAGATTGCCCTGCCTCTCTGCCTCCCAAGTGCTGGGATTATATGTACCACCACCTGGCTGGAATGTGATTTTTAAAAAAGTGGAACCTATCTAAAAAATAAAAGTTTCTGAATCTAAAAGAAGAAAGAAAAGAAATTTCTAAGCCCTGGCTCCTAGCCCACTTAGTGTATTTAGTCTCTGTAGAAGAGTTTTCCTGGGGCAGTCAAGATGGTGCCATTGCTAAAGAACTTGCCTGTAAGTTTGATGGCTTGTGTTTGACCCCCAGAACCAACATGGTGGAAAGAGAGGACCGATTGACTGATTCCCATAAGTTGCCCTCTGACCTCTACACATGCACTGTAACACATACACACACACACACACACACACACACAGAGAGAGAGAGAGAGAGAGAGAGAGAGAGTAAAAATATTCTGAAAACATATTCCAATGCAGGTAATAGCAGTGACCATTATTTCTGGCCCTGTAGCATTGGAGGTCATTGTGAATATCTCACTACAGAAACTTTCTCTTTCTCATTTTGCTTCTTAAATTTGGCCATGATATCCAAATTATAAAATAAAATAGAGAACCAATAAGCCTAAAGCTGACAGAAAGCCATAAAGCTTTTCTAAGATGCTGCTGACCTTGTTTCTCCCACACAGAGAGCAGGGAACATTCCCTCAGACTCTCCCTTCTCAGACTTCTGGAGCTGTGAAACATAGGGTGTAGGTTAATACATCAAAGCTTCTTTTTTCATAATTCTCTTCCTGGACTAAAAGGTTATTTAACGTAGCCCATAGTGACTCTTCACCGCCCCAGAAATGTGACGTCTACATCACAGGCGCTGCAAGCAGGTGGAAACTGAGAGTCCATCGGAGCAGCAGGCTCTCAGGACACTGCCAGTCAGGTGTATGCTGGGTTGAAAACTTCAAATTCATGAGTTGGAAAGATGGCTCAGGAGCTAAGGGTGTGCTGATCTTGCAGAGTTCAGCCCCCAGCAACCATGGCCCCATATCAGGCAGCCTGGAGCTGCAGCTGCAGGGGAGTCAGGTGACCTGGCCTCTGGCCTCCCTCGGGCACCTGTACTCACGTGCACATACCTACACACATAGGCACTTAGGTTTTTAAAATGAGTCTTTAAAAAAAAAAACTTAAAGTCAAAGGCACCTGAAGTCTTAGTCGTCTCAGCAGCCAACAGGAAGTAAATAGGCCTTCTCAGAAGGTGGACAGGTGATCTCTGTGACTCTGCAGATGGCCTGGGCTACTTAATGAGTTCCAAGCTAGCAGAGTTACATGGTGATTTTTACCCTGGAGGGAGGGAGGGAGGGAGAGAGGAAGGGAGGGAGGGAGGGATAGATGATGGTGATTCAGGCCCTGGCAGTCTGTGGCATGAGTTTGAACATGAGTGTACAGACTGAGCGTGCCAGATCTGAAGTCTTCAGAACAGCTCTGTTTTGGATTTGGGTTGTTTTATTCAGATTATAGAATATTTACATATATGGAAGGAAATCCAGTGGAGCTTCACATATACTTTGGTGTGTGTGTGTGTGTGTGTGTGTGTGTGTGTGTAGATAATTTCATGCAATATTCCTAGTAATTTTGTTATGTTCCTTGTTCATAGGGAGCAGCTGCAGAGGACGGCCGATTAAAACGAGGTGACCAGATCTTAGCTGTCAATGGCGAGCCCCTGGAAGGTGTTACTCATGAGCAAGCTGTCACCATTCTAAAGCGGCAGACAGGGGCTGTGGCCTTGACTGTGCTGCCGTGAGCGCTGGTCCTGATTATGACACATGAAAATACACAATGCTGTGGCTTCCAGGTGGGATGAAAAGTTGCCTCAGCCAAAAGTCAGCCTCATCCCTGCTCTGCTTCTGTTTGCAGAAACTAGAGCTGCTGCCCCTGCTTCCTCCCCACATCCCTCCTCCCCACAGAGGCTTAACAGCAATCTCCTGTGGTTTCATCTTATGAGTGGAAACAAAGGTTTAGCTTGTCATCTTAACTCGTGATTTACTTATGCTAATTTGTCTCTTCAAATAAGGCAGAAAACATTAGCAGTGTAATTAACTTCCTCACAATGAACTGTTCATACTCTGCTGCTGGGAATTACTGCAGTCTCTTCCGTGTGACTCATAGTCAAGTCAATCTCCCTGTCTCTAGCTAGGTCTGTGTATGTTAGTCATTGGTGATTTTGAGGAGTCAATTCGAAAATTCTGTAGTCTACTCAGTATTCTAAAGGCTTTGTTTCTGAGTTTCACGCATGCACACTGCTCATCAAGTGTGCCTTGAACTTCACAGAAGCAAGTAGTCCTGAATCCTAGCCAGGCAATCTCCCATTGCTGGAGAGCTTACTCTGAGTGAGGGGCATCTTAGCAGGTTGAGCCACCCCTTCCCCTCCCCTGTGGACCACACTGGGGAGATAAGCAAGTCTGGGCATCCTTGGCCTTATTCAAAGTGAGTGACAAGTTTGGTTTGCCTTTCCCTTGCCTCCATACCAGCCTGCACAGTGACCCAGCCCACAGCAGCTATGTGCAACACTTAAATGTAAAATAACAGCAAATGACCTAGGAATCAGTGCTCTGCTTGGGTTTCTCAGTCTCCTCCTCTTCCTAGTGGCTGGAGCTTTGCAGCTGAGAAAGCAACTGTAGCAGAAGTAGCAGAGGACTCCTAGAGTGAAATGGGCTGGAAAGGTGGATGCTCATCACTGAGTTCTGTGGAAACAAAGAAGGGCACCCTGAAAGGTGACTACAAGGTCAGCAATGGCTGTATCCAAGCATTATTTACTATAACTCAGTGCTGCAAATTGTTTAGTAATTACCAGGATTTAATGGGCCCCAATGTAAAATGTTATTTAATTAGTGAGGATTTTAACTGAGATTCCCTTTGAGTAGATATAATCACAAAGTGCATTAACTCTTGCGTAATATTTTTGTGGCTGTTCCAAGGTGCAGACTGCCTCGGTTTTATGTTGACAGTGCATTTCCATGACTGGTATTAAGTTTTTTGAGATTCCATAGGGTTTTTAGAATTTATAATGTATTCAAGATACATGGTTTTGTTAGGATCCTGCCTCCCGGTTCATGAGAAGCCATTGTTCTGTGTGAATGATACCTGAGAGAACATCTCAAGCAGCAGAGACCAAATGAAGCCCAGATGAAAACGTACCTTAAAAGATAAAGATAGCTACATTAATGCTTTCCAAGTATGATTCTGCTTAATTTTGGTGGAACGACCTTAAATACACACTTTGAAATGATGCATTGTTGTTGTGTCTTTCTTTATATATCCTCCTTTTAGGGCATGCCCCTCAAAGTCTGTTAATGAGGTAATTGTGGGACTCTTCATCAGGTTCCTCGGGGCCCTGTCTCTTTCCACAGGACTAGTGAGTAATTGCTGTGCCAAAAAGTTTGTTGCCATTGAAACTTACAATACACCAAGAAGACAGTAATTTGCAAAGGTTGTTTTCTTAAAAATCACATATGCTATTTTTTTGGTCATTTAAGTCTATTATTAATATTATTAATAACTGGAGTTAGCCCAAGAGGTAAGTGAACTAGAAAAATAAAGTATAGAATGTTTCTATGTATAGGTATTTCTAAAGGTTCTAAGTCAAGGCAGCTGACTAAGCATCAGGCAGAGACATGGCTTATGGTGTACACATTTAATCTCTGCATCTAACTTCATTTTGTTCTTCAGTCGATTCTTCAGTGTCCTGTTACACTCCAGTCTGGGCAGGGGATGTAGCTCGGTTGGTAGAGCGCCCTCTTCTGATGTCAGTGGGTACTGCAAGCACACAGTACACAGATCCACTTGCAGGCAAAACACCTATGCATGCAAAGTGATAAAAACTAAAATCTTTTTAATAATACTTATTTATGTCTATGCTTGTCTGCATGGGTTTATATGTACCACACATATGTAAGAGCCCAAGAACCTTACATCTCCTGTACCTGGAGTTACAGTTGTGAGACACCACGTGGGTGCTCTGAGCCATCTCTCGAGCCTTCAAAACTTCAATCTGGCATTCTTTCTAAGATATAGCTTATTATTTTTAGTTATGGGGCAGAGTTCACATGAGTGCAGGTTCCCTTGGGGGCGTCAGATTCTTTAGGAGCTGCAGTTACAGTTGTGAGCCAACCAACCCGGGTGCTGAGAACTGAACCCAGGTCCTTTGGAATTGCAGCACAGAGCCATGTGTTACGATAAAGTTCATGGGGGAACCTTGGCGGATTCCATGGCAGGCCAGGGTGACGAAGGCGGAGGGACAAATATGCCAGGCAGACAGAGCTTAGTGAGAAGTTTTATTAGAAACAGAGAGGGGGGAAGGAAAGAGAAAAGAGGAACACAGGGACAGCGAGAGGACAGGAGAAAAGAGGGAGACAGGAAAAGTCCTGTCTGTCCCAGAGGAATAGTGGGAAAGAGAGGGAAATAGAGCTTAAGTGGACAGGGGTCTTTCTTTTAAAGGGGTCCTGAGTGCAGACTGCAACCATGGAACCCTAGGCTGACCAGGGTACTGCCTGAGTGCTTTTTGCCAGATGACAGGCTGGCCAGCATAATGCCTGAATTCTTAGATCCAGACCCTTTGTTTGTTTGTTTGTTTTGTGATAGGGTCTCAATGTGTAGCCGTTGCTGGCCTATTCACTATATAGATCAGGGTGGCCTCAAACTCAGAAATTCACCTGCCTCTGCCTCTTAAGTGCTGGGATCAAAGGCATGTGCCACCACACCAGCCTAAATGTTTTTTTCATAATATGAAAATAATTCTTGTAAAAAGAAGCAGCTGACTTTGCTTACAGGAATGTTACCCTACCTTCTTGCATCCGTGGAATGCACGGCTTCCCTATCAGTTGGAATCCTGCCCCGAGTGCCTCTTTAATCTCCTGTCCAAAGTCCCAGCCTTCTAAGCCATCACCTTCAAAACCTACCAGCTTGGGAGAAAGGACCATTTTAAAGAGAGTGTAGTGGGACTCTTGCAGAAACGCACACAAGTCTGAGACTTTCCTCCCCAGAGCCTTCTTTTCCTTAACCCTCTGCTGAAAACATGTATAGTTAATGCTCTTTAATAAACATCAATTCTGCTTCCTATTGGCTCCTCTTCTTGAATTCTTTTCTGCATGAAACCAAGGATGAGGCTTTACCTGACTTAGGGAACTAGGTCTGCTAAAATCTGGAACTCCAAGCAGGGAAGGACATCCTGTTTAAGTACCTTCTAGGCAAGAATGAGATCCAGGCAAGAGAGCCCCATTCTCCTAAACTTGCTATCGCCTACCCCTCCCTGCTGCGGGGCTTTGAAGTACAGAAGCCTGCGATACCTCAGATAACCGCGTGGTGGCACAAGAGACACCATGTGTATGAGGCTTTTGACCAGCGCGCCTGTCAGGTAGGCGGACAAGGAGTCTGGCATGACAGATCCGCCTGCAGTGAGTGATTTCATGACTTCTCTGAAGCCCAGTTCTCAGAATGTAAGACTCACATCCAGCCAGACTCTCAACAGACAGCACAGGAAGGAATATATCCCGCGGAATTGGTTTCAGTCCCGAAGGCCAGGTTCCACTGCCTTCCAGGTCTGTGTTTCCCATTGACCATCTAGGACAGGACAGATGCCCTTGACCACTCACTGTTCAGTAATACTTGAATGTGAGTGTTTGGGGGCTCTTGGCATCACCCCAACTCATCTCCCTCCTTCTAGGACGAGCACTGTTGGGGAGCCTTGTTGCTAGAACTTACGTTATTGTATATGTGTGTGAGCCACCGAGGGGCTCAGAGGACAATTCTGTGGCATCAATTCTACCTTTATGTGGTTCCAGGAATGAACTCAGATTACCTGGGCTATAAGGCAAGCACTTTCACAGATGACCCCCCCCACCACCACCACACCGCTCCCAAATAGGGTCTCTCTGGGATTCACTCTGTAGACCAAGCTAGCCTCAAACTCAGAGATCTGCTTACCTCTGCCTGGGATTAAATCCTGTGCCAGGATTAAAGGCATGCGCCACCACCGGCTCATTTTAGTTTTTCTTTAAGGGGTTTTGTTAATGTGCTCATTTAGATGAGAATGGCCCCTGTAGGCTCATTTGTTTTAATAGTTGGATCCCCAGGTGGTGGAACAGTTGGGGATGCTTCAGAGATGTAGCCTGGAGGAGGTATGTCACTGGGGTTGGAAGGGCTTTGAGGTTTCAAAAGACTGCCAAAATTCTGGGTCTCTTTCTTTCTCTACCTCGCGGCTGTGTCTCAGTTCTCAGCTACTGTTGCAGAGCCACACCACCTGCCTGCTGCCGTATGCTTGCCCCATGATGGTCATGGACTCCAACCCTCTGAAACTGTGAGCTCCCTCTTAAATTGCCTTGGTTACGCTGTCTCATCACAGCAATAGAAAAGTAACAAGGACAACCATGTCCAAGAGGAGAATCATTTTAAAAGTTCACTTGCATGAGCTTAATGAGGTTTTACTATTCGTGAGCAACCATGTGACCTAATACAGCCCACCTTCCACCCAAGCCCACCCACCCAGGACCCCAAAGTCTCTAACTCGGGGCAAATGCCCAACACACCCTTCTTTTTAAGACAAAGTTTCAGTATATAGCTCTGGTGGTTATGGAACTCAACAGTGTGTAGCAGGGTGAGAGCTCAGCTCATAGAGGTTCACTTACCTATTCCTCTCCAGTGCTGTGATTAAAGGTGTGCTGTGATTAAAGGTCCAGCAAACCACCTTTCTCTTATTATTTACTTATTTTATTTTATGTGTATTACCGGCACATGTGTGTGTGTACACCAAACATATGCTTTGGCCTCCGTGGTGTCCAGGGGAGGAGGAGCTAGAGTTACAGGTTGTTGTAAACCACCTTGTGGGCACTGGGAATTGAACCCCAGGTCTTCGAAGAGCAACAAGTGCTCTTACCTACTGAGCCATCTCTCTAGCACCATCCTTCTTAATCCTGCAGAAAACGTGGTGCACATCTAGCAATAGCATCTGGTCAGCTGTGGCAGGAGGGGTGGATCCCCTTACGTTATTAATTCAACAAGAGGCTGTAGAACATGCTAGTCATGACCCTGGACATCGTGAATAAACACTTGAGTGAGAAAGATACAGGTCAGGTCTGGTTGGA